CTGTACCTTCCTCCTTTACCTTGAAAAGTAGGTGTGTAACGTGTTTTATCCTGTCATATGCAGACTGAGGTTGTTTTTCTGGGAACTAAGTCATCATATTCTGTGCAAGCTAGATTGTCGGACCAAAAGTTTTCACTTGAATATTGTGAATGAAGTTAATAATTACACAGATGCCTTCATGATTATTACTGCAGCTGCCAAGTGATATTCCACTGCCCTGCCGTGTGTATACTTTCACTTTCATTCATGTTTGGTACTTTCTGTCACTCTGATTATTTTCTTCACTTCGCTGTTTATTAAATCTTTCACCATCCCTTTCATCTTCTGTCAGGCCTGCTGTTCTACTCTTTTCTCAGAATACTTTTTATCGTTTCGTTGTAAGTTGTTTTCCAAAAGTTTCTTGTACGAGCTTTGTTACTGTTGTCCTCCGGCTTATTTTTTACTTCTTTCGTTGCATTTGTCCGAATCACAGCATTACTCAGTCCTACCTATGTGTTCACATTGTTACTTTTTTATTAAATGTTTGGAGCATTGCATACGACGACAGGGATAAAAGTGTCTGTGTGTGAGCTTGTGATGTAGTGATGAATAAGTCGATGGTGTATGGACTAGTGAGAAGTAGCTTAGCTAGCTAGCTGCTCCTCTTATGTGGAAGTTGCTGGTGTGTATGGAGTTGCGAGTTGTAGCTTAGCTGTAGCTAGCTGCTGCTCTGTGTGGAAGTTGCAGAGTGAAATGAAGCACATTGTACTTCAAAGACTCCTCGGTGCAATCTCATCGTTCACTGTTGTGTTTTCTGCAGCAACAAATCTTGTTTGGTAGCTCTTTCTGCCTGAGTTGAGGTAGATCGCCGGACGGCTGGAGGGGTTGAGTGCGACGTGTAATTTTATTATTGTGCTACATGCAGTCCTTTTTTGTTTTTTTTTGTTTTTTGACTGAGACTAAAGGTGGAGAGAGTGATAGATAGTTACAATTGACTTCCTGTTTTTGTTCTTTTGTTTCTTGTCATCCAAGATCAACATCAACTGATACGATCTCTCGTGTATTTATTGAAAATCTGTGGAAAGCCAGCCACTGACTGTTGTCCCGAGGATGAAGAAGAAGAAGACTGAAGAAATTGAAATCTCCGTAAATAATGTGGTAGTAGTGCGAGGAGAGCGACCGTTGCGCTCGCTGTATGTAGGAGAGTTGTATCTATAGGCTCATTAAGAGAAGTGATCTCATTTATATACATACATCATGTGCTTTCTTGTGTCCTTTAAAAAGTTAACCATTCCCATTATTTATTTGCACTGTGTTGATTTGAGCAGCCAGCTCTGCTCACTAGATACACGAGTGGTTCTTGTACCTTCGTACCTTCGTTACTGGTTTTTATGTTGGACATCGTAGGTAGAGTTTCTTTGGGGGGAGAGGGGTTGTTACCTTTTTCACATTCTCAAAAGTATTTGGGGCTAATTTTGTTACTTTTTTAAAACACTTTTCATACTTAAAGATGTTGGAAAGAAGA